GTACTCAGATATTGTACTGGAGTAAAAGTAGAAGTACTCAGATATTGTACTTGAGTAAATGTAGAAGTACTCAGATATTGTACTTGAGTAAAAGTAGAAGTACTCAGATCTTGTAGTAAAAGTAGAAGTACTCAGATCTTGTACTTGAGTAAATGTAGAAGTACTCAGATCTTGTAGTAAAAGTAGAAGTATTCTATCTGGTACTTGAGTAAAAGTACTCAGATATTGTACTGGAGTAAAAGTATAAGTACTCAGATATTATACTTGAGTAAAAGTATAAGTACTCAGATATTGTACTTGAGTAAATGTAGAAGTACTCAGATATTGTAGTAAAAGTAGAAGTACTCAGATCTTGCACTTGAGTAAATGTAGAAGTACTCAGATCTTGTAGTAAAAGTAGAAGTACGCTATCTGGTACTTGAGTAAAAGTACTCAGATCTTGTACTTGAATAAATGTAGAAGTACTCAGATCTTGTAGTAAAAGTAGAAGTACTCTATCTGGTACTTGAGTACTCAGATATTGTACTGGAGTAAAAGTAGAAGTACTCAGATCTTGTACTTGAGTAAAAGTATAAGTACCCAGGTCTGGTACTTTAGTAAAAGTAGAAGTACTCAGGTCTTGTAATTGAGTAAAAGTAGAAGTACTCAGATCTTGTACTTGAGTAAAAGTAGAATTATTCAGATATTGTACTTGAGTAAAAGTATAAGTACCCAGGTCTGGTACTTTAGTAAAAGTAGAAGTACTCAGGTCTTGTAATTGAGTAAAAGTAGAAGTACTCAGATCTTGTACTTGAGTAAAAGTAGAATTATTCAGATCTTGTACTTGAGTACAAGTAAAGATAGCATCAGGATGCAGGGAGTTAACAACGGCAATATTCCTGTGGTTCGTTTCCCCGTGCATTTGCAGAGCATGGTGTGCACGTGCACCTGATTGCCCTCCCCTCCCCCACTCTTACTAAGCTGTGCTGTGAATTCAGAAACAGGACAGAGCAGTGATGCAGTGACGCGTCCTAAAACCCGGAAATAAGATGCTGGTTCCCTCGCAACGTGATTTCTCCTCCATATGATTTTGGATATGTATGCAGTAGGGATGTGCATCTCCATCACTGAGGCCGATGCGATGCGCATCTCGATACGTTGCCACGATACGATACATTAACGATACATTTGAAACACCAGGCGATGCGATACGATACGATTCACCCCTGTTGCGATACAGTTCGATACGATTTGATTCAACATTATGCGATTCGGTGCGATACGATTCAACACGATGCAAAAATAATACTTCAATATGGTATGACAGAGGATTTTTGTTTTATTCCTTATATGCAGCAAATCATACATTAACAAAAAAGTGCTTTATATATTTGGTACTGCACATCCCATCATGCCGTTTATTTTTTTGCCTTTAAAAGCTCTCCAGAGTACAATTCTATAACACCTCACAGTTACACAATGTAAGGATGCATTGCTCATGATTAACAATGTGCAAATAACAGCTACCATAGAGCAATGCCCATACAGCTGCCAGCCTGATGTGCTTAACACTCATTCATAGGCTAACTCACCAGTGAGCAGAAAGCAGTGGTTTCTATATGAACAATAAAGAAAATAACCTTTCACAAACAGGTATTTCATAACTGCTTACAGTAAGGAAGACATTTAAACTATTATTGGCCGTCACAGGCTGCTGTAAACTAAACACCACTCTCTCTGACAGAACACCTCACTGAGTGATTTAACTCATATGTCTAACTTTCAGGTTTCTCTTTTCAGCCGCAGACCCCATGTCGCCTCTTTATGTGCGTCGCTAAGTTCCTCGTACTACTTGTGTACTTTAAAGCGGCTCGGCATCGTTAACAATTTGCGAGCGATTTTTCAAGTTGACCGTCTGTAGTATATAGTGCCGCGCACATATACCATCAGGACGTTACTGATGGGGTGCGGCTGCGGAGTGATACTGTCTGTATACAAGCCCGCATCTAGGACGGATCTATGTATCATGGCTGTAGACCTGTTAAGTAATAAAGATACCTCATACAAAGGTCTACAGATACCTTATTACTCTCCATGACCTGCGGTCAACTATATAGCATAAAGGACTATTACACCGTCTTTCTTGAACAATCCGAAGTGTTGCCAAACGTTTGATATGTAGGTATTTTTCAGTGCGCTGTGTTTCTCTTTCTCCTCAACTTCCGTGTGTGTTGATAACTGAGACTCTCGGCCTCCGTAGTGGCGAAGCAAATATCAAAGATCGTCTCTGCTGAGCGTTGACAAGATGAGGGGATTTTATATGAATGAATCGTTTTTTTACCGATGCAAAGACGCTACGCCATCGATGCATCGCGAGTTCAACCCGGTTCAACCCAAACTGTAGCCGATGTGCACTCTTTCAACCGGTGCACTCGCATCTTGAACGTTTATGCCGGTGCACCGATGCGAATCGGTGAATCTCAACATCTCTAGTATGCAGTGTATTCATCTTGTACTTTAGTAAAAGTATAAGTACTCAGATCTTGTACTTGAGTATAAGTACTCAGATCTTGTAGTAAATATAGAAGTACTCAGATCTTGTACTTGAGTAAAAGTACTCAGATATTGGACTTGAGTATAAGTACTCAGATATTGTACTTGAGTAAAAGTATAAGTACTCAGATCTTGTAGTAAAGTAAAAGTAGAAGTACTCAGGTCTGGTACTTTAGTAAAAGTAGAAGTACTCAGATCTTGTACTTGATTAAAAGTAGAAGTACTCAGATCTTGTACTTGAGTAAAATAGAAGTACTCAGATCTGGTACTTGAGTAAAAGTACTCAGATATGTACTTGAGTAAAAGTAGAAGTACTCAGATCTTGTAGTAAAAGTAGAAGTACTCAGATCTTGTACTTGAGTAAATGTAGAAGTACTCAGATCTTGTAGTAAAAGTAGAAGTACTCTATCTGGTACTTGAGTAAAAGTAAAAGTACTCAGATATTGTACTGGAGTAAAAGTAGAAGTACTCAGATATTGTACTTGAGTACATGTAGAAGTACTCAGATATTGTACTTGAGTTAAAGTAGAAGTACTCAGTTCTTGTAGTAAAAGTAGAAGTACTCAGATCTTGTACTTGAGTAAATGTAGAAGTACTCAGATCTTGTAGTAAAAGTAGAAGTACTCTATCTGGTACTTGAGTAAAAGTAAAAGTACTCAGATATTGTACTGGAGTAAAAGTAGAAGTACTCAGATATTGTACTTGAGTTAAAGTAGAAGTACTCAGATCTTGTAGTAAAAGTAGAAGTACTCAGATCTTGTACTTGAGTAAATGTAGAAGTACTCAGATATTGTAGTAAAAGTAGAAGTACTCTATCTGGTACTTGAGTAAAAGTACTCAGATATTGTAATTGAGTAAAAGTAGAAGTACTCAGATCTTGTACTTGAGTAAAAGTAGAATTATTCAGATATTGTACTTGAGTAAAAGTATAAGTACCCAGGTCTGGTACTTTAGTAAAAGTAGAATTATTCAGATCGTGTACTTGAGTACAAGTAAAGATAGCATTAGGATGCAGGGAGTTAACAATGGCAATATTCCTGTGGTTCGTTTCCCCGTGCATTTGCAGAGCATGGTGTGCACGTGCACCTGATTGCCCTCCCCTCCCCCACTCTTACTAAGCTGTGCTGTCTGTTCAGAAACAGGACAGAGCAGTGATGCAGTGACGCATCCTAAAACCCGGAAATAAGATGCTGGTTCCCTCGCAACATGATTTCTCCTCCATAGGATTTTGGATATGTATGCAGTGTATTCATCTTGTACTTTAGTAAAAGTACAAGTACTCCGATCTTGTAGTAGATATAGAAGTACTCAGATATTGGACTTGAGTATAAGTACTCAGATCTTGTACTTGAGTAAAAGTAGAAGTACTCAGATCTTGTAGTACATATAGAAGTACTCAGATATTCTACTTGAGTAAAAGTACACAGATCTTGGACTTGAGTATAAGTACTCAGATCTTGTACTTGAGTAAAAGTATAAGTACTCAGATCTTGTAGTAAAGTAAAAGTAGAAGTACTCAGGTCTGGTACTTTAGTAAAAGTAGAAGTACTCAGATCTTGTACTTGATTAAAAGTAGAAGTACTCAGATCTTGTACTTAAGTAAAATAGAAGTACTCAGATCTTGTAGTAAAAGTAGAAGTACTCTATCTGGTACTTGAGTAAAAGTAAAAGTACTCAGATATTGTACTGGAGTAAAAGTATAAGTACTCAGATCTTGTACTTGAGTAAAAGTATAAGTACCCAGGTCTGGTACTTTAGTAAAAGTAGAAGTACTCAGGTCTTGTAATTGAGTAAATGTAGAAGTACTCAGATATTGTAGTAAAAGTAGAAGTACTCAGATATTATATTTGAGTAAATGTAGAAGTACTCAGATCTTGTACTTGAGCAAAAGTAGAAGTATTCAGATCTTGTACTTGAGTACAAGTAGAAGTATTCAGATATTGTGCTTGAGTACAAGTAAAGATAGCATCAGGATGCAGGGAGTTAACAATGGCAATATTCCTGTGGTTCGTTTCCCCGTGCATTTGCAGAGCATGGTGCACGTGCACCTGATTGCCCTCCCCTCCCCCACTCTTACTAAGCTGTGCTGTCAGTTCAGAAACAGGACAGAGCAGTGATGCAGTGACGCGTCCTAAAACCCGGAAGTAAGCAACGTGATTTCTCCTCCATAGGATTTTGGATATGTATGCACTGTATTCATGTGCAATGCCTAAATTAGTGAAGTTTACACAGGCACGTGGGGGGGGGGGGGGGGGGGCAGCTCGGGGGTCGGGGGATGAGAGGAGTGCATGCAGACACGTGATGTAAAGTCTTGCTTTTACGTAAATTGAAGAACTGAAGTAAAGATCGTCTTGTTTTTTAAACGTATGCACGCCTGGAAATCCCTCTTGTGTCCACGTGTGCAACAAATATTGGAGGCACTGCTGAGGTATTAATGTTTCGCCGTTTCTGTGTGTGACACCAACTTGGACTGAGTTTTCCCCTGACGGGAGCGAGCAGGGCTGGAGCACCGGACGCGCACAGCAGGTTGCAACTGGATCAGCTCAAAGAGGTGTGTGATGAAGCTAAAGTCTCAAGTGGAAATGTCATTACAAGGCGAGCTTTAATAAGACTAATAACAGAATCCGTGGATAATGTAATAAATGATGAAGAAGAGGATATTTCAATGTATCATCTAAGGAAATTGCTAAAACTCATTGAGCAAATAATGAAAAATACTGGCAACAGTGATGATATGGATACAACAGAGAGCAAAGCACAGAACAGCCTGCAAACAGCTGAAGAGTTGAGTTTGGCTGAAAAATATTCACAGCTTCAGCTAAACATGATGAGGTTAGAAGACTGAGAGAGTGAACAGCACACCATTAAGTCTTTTAGTGCACATGGCTTTCATGTGGCACTTCTCTTTGTAAAAGTGGTGTAAATAATACGTAATATTATACCTTCTTAGCCAGATAACGTAAGCTAGCTATTAACTTTCTTATTCAATTAAGTTGGGATAACATTAGCTTCAATAAGTTATGTGACAATGGTCATCATTAAATCAGAATGACTGAACTGACTGAGAACCTGCTAACATTGAAATATCCTGAACAGGATCAGGGTGTAATTAATAATTAAGGCTATTCTTCTGTCTAACAGGTGAGATGGCTGACAATTAAGAAAACAGAGTTCAGTGAGGAAGAGACGGCTTGGTCTTCAACAGGATGCCAGGATCACATTTTTAACACACCGTTTAAAGGTAAGTGCTTACAATGTTGTATGTTTTAAATAAACACAAGCAAATAGTGCAAATTAAATCACAATATCTTAATTTATAATCCCAACATTGCTTCCCATGGGAATCTTAACTCCAAAAAGTTACTTTTTACTGTCAGTATTAACATTTAAAGCTAGGTAAAAGCAAAAAGATATGCAATTATTTAAGATAAGATAATTTTGTAATATTTGGTAACATTTTCTAAATATTCATTCATCAATAAATAAGCCACTTACAAAAGTCAAATGTGAGTGTTTAAAACAAAAGAAACACCATATGCCTGTTACAGACTCTGGGCATCATATAAATGGGCCACATGGAAGTTGAGCATGTTCCCATATAATAATACAAAGTTATCTCAATAACTGTTTTAGTCAAACAGTTATTATTCAGAATAAATCATATATAATTAAATAAGCATCTCTGGGGCCAATTGAGTTATTATTTCTTATTTGTTGACGTCAGTTGTGATGATTTAAACATAACCCTTTGGATGTTTTAATCAAACTTTGTTGATAAACATTTGAATGTAATGTGTCTCAGACACAGGTGAGTGAATATGTAAACATAGCATTCTAACCGGCAACATGACCGTAGTTTATTTATAATAATGTGTAGTCAAATAGATTTCACACTGTTGTCTCCAGCATTGTCTATTGCTGCCCTTAGTCTTTTGGATACTTTTGCAAGGAAAACTATGTGGGAGCAGAGCACATCTTTGTTTTAGTGACTGGAAATGCACTTTAGTGTACACTTGGTTTTAGTTAAAGTTAAAGCCTTTTATTGTCATTATACAAAAAATACAACGAGATTCAGAGTGCAACTCTGTCCCAGTGTGCAAAAGCCGCCGACGGTTTTCTCTGCCATCCTAATCACTCTCTGCAGGGCTTTCTTGTCCGCAGCTGAGTGAACATCCAGCATACCACACAGAGATGGAGAATGACAGCACGCTCTCGATGGTCGCCCGGTAGAAGGACACCAGCAGCTTCTTGTTCAGTCTGTTCCTCCGAAGCACCCTCATGAAGTGCAGTCGCTGCTGGGCCTTTTTAACTGCTGCAGTGGTGTGTGCAGCTGAGGCTCTCCGAAATTTGAACCCTCAGGAACTTAAAGGTGGGGACCCTCTCCACTCTCTCTCCATTGAGGTGAAGGGGGGCGGGTTCTGGACGGTGTTTTCTGAAGTCTATAATAATAATAATTATTTTTATTTTTAAATGTTACTTTCAACACTGTATCCAATCCAAGTATGCAAATTATACTACTAACATTCAATCTCTATTTATTTAAGTCTTGACCCCTTGATGCATCTCTTGAAGACAAGTTACTGGGCAAACACCAAACTGCAAGATGAAAACTATTGTCATTGATTGGATGCCACATCTCTGCCTGTTTGCAGAGACAACTCCCCAGAAGAAGAAATAACCTGCAGTTACGGGGATGCTGACTGGCCTTTGCGCAAACAGGTATATTTACACATATAACTCAACAATAACACGTGATTCAACACATTTTATTGTTTCCGTCCAAATAATTATAGTACGTGATTAATTTGTTTATCATTGGATAGCTATACCTTTTGAGATCTTCTCTTAGTGCATTCTTGTGTTATAGGTTCATTGTACGTATAATTCTACACTTCCTAAGCCTGTGCATGTTTGAAAGGGTAATTTGAAAGCAGTCCATTGCAACCCCTTTTTGATATTGAGGTAATTCAGTAATATGGAGCTGTCCCCACAATATGTTAATGTTGTCCTTTTCAAGAGAGGACCTTTTTTAAAAAAACTATTTTCTGATACAGCTTTAATCCTGTTACTAATTGAGTAATTTGTGTAGATCTGACTGAAGAAACTAAATTGAACATATTTTTAGACTAGCTATAATGGGATTTGTTACTTAAACCTGTCACACACACTGGTTTCTAGTCTTGTCCTTATGGGGCCTTCCCATTTGGTTATAACTTAAAGTCATTTAAAAACATTTGTGCAACACCTTTTGGAATCTAAACTCAAGTTGTTGTAGGCGTAAGTTAACACTTTGTGAGCATAAGCATGGTTAAAACGGTTATCATTTACCTTAGCCTCGATGGGAGTAGTTACATAACCCTGTCACACACACTGGTTTCTAGTCTTGTCCTTATGGGGCCCTCCCGTTTGGTTATAACATCAAATGAATTAAAAGATTTCTAAAGTACCTTTTTTAACATCTAATAGTAGGTCATTGTATGTATAATTCTACTCTTCCTGAGCCTATGCATGTTTGAAAGGGTAATTTGAAAGCAGTCCATTGCAACCCCTTGTTGATATTGTAAAATGTATTGAGACCACAGGACTAAATAATGCCATGCCTTTGTTTTGATCCAAATCCAGTTTCAGATAGTTTGTCATGTAACTAACTTCAGCAACTAATAATTATATACATGGTTACTATCTTCTTAGTGCATTCTTGTTGTATCTCAGTTCCAGGTGACAAACGGGCAGACTAATCCAGAGGGAGTTGAGGAGGAGAGGCTCCCCTTAGACTTGACTTTCCCCGAAACATCAACAAGTGACTGTGCTACTACCGAGGTAATTCAGTAATATGGAGCTGTCTCCACAATATGTTAATGTTGTCCTTTTCAAGAGAGGACCTTTTTTTTTAAAACTCTTTTCTGATACAGCTTTAATCCTGTTACTAATTGAGTGATTTGTGTAGATCTGACTGAGGAAACTAAATTGAACATATTTTTAGACTAGCTATAATGGGATTTGTTACTTAAACCTGTCACACACACTGGTTTCTAGTCTTGTCCTTATGGGGCCCTCCCGTTTGGTTATAACTTAAAGTAATTTTAAAACATTTGTGCAACACCTTTTAGAATCTATACTCTAGTTGTTGTAGGCGTAAGTTAACACTTTGTGAGCATAAGCATGGTTAAAACGGTTATCATTTACCTTAGCCTCGATGGGAGTAGTTACATAAACCTGTCACACACACTGGTTTCTAGTCTTGTCCTTATGGGGCCCTCCCGTTTGGTTATAACTTAAAGTAATTTAAAAACATTTGTGAAACACCTTTTAGAATCTAAACTCTAGTTGTTGTAGGTGTAAGTTAACACTTTGTGAGCATAAGCATGGTTACAACTGTTATCATTTACCTTAGCCTCGATGGGAGTAGTTACTCAAACCTGTCACACATACTGGTTTCTAGTCTTGTCCTTATGGGGCCCTCCCGTTTGGTTATAACTTAAAGTCATTTAAAAACATTTGTGCAACACCTTTTAGAATCTAAACTCTAGTTGTTGTAGGTATAAGTTAACACTTTGTGAGCATAAGTATGGTTAAAACGGTTATCATTTACGTTAGCCTGTTTCTAGTCTTGTCCTTATGGGGCCCTCCCGTTTGGTTAGGACCTAAAATGAATACAATTATTTCTAAAGTACCTTTATCACATCTAATAGTAGGTCATTGTATGTATAATTCTACACTTCCTGAGCCTGTGCATGTTTGAAAGGGTAATTTGAAAGCAGTCCATTGCAACCCCTTTTTGATATTGTAAAATGTATTGAGACCACAGGACTAAATAATGCCATGCCTTTGTTTTGATCCAAATCCAGTTTAAGATAGTTTGTCATTTAGCTAACTTCAGCAACTAATGATTATATGCATGGTTACTATCTTCTTAGTGTATTCTTTTTGTATCTCAGTTCCAGGTGACAAACGGGCAGACTAATCCAGGGAAGGAGTTGAGGACGAGACGCTCTCCTTGGAACTTTATGTCTACATAAGCATCAAACAGTGACTGTGCTACTATCGAGGTAATTCAGTAATATGGAGCCGTCTCCACAATATGTTTATTCTTTCCTTTTCACTATGTACCAAGATAAGACCTTTTACATTTTACAATGTTTACATGTATTATTATGTACATTTAAGTAAGTATTCTGTCTGTAATAAATTAAGTGTATTAATTTACTCTGCAACATAGCAGGAGACATAATAGATTTAATTAGACATTTTCAAGTATTTGCCTTGGATGTCACAAACTACACTGGAGCAGGACTGTAAATGAGCCACACGGACATCTTCTGGAATAGCATTTTGCAACTTTGATAAATTCTATAAATTATGCCAGACGCTAGTTTGTATCTGCACAATGAATGGGAGCTTACAGATAAATTGACCAATCATTTTGTTGATAATCAAACTCTTAGTACCAAACAAAATGGCGTGTCTGATTGTGATGGAATAAAGTGATCAGAAGGTGTCGCACCATTAACATTCTTTCAGATCTGCAATATGGGTACTTTTTAAATGTTTTATAAGATTCTTAACTGTATGATAATAACTGGCTCTTAAACTTCTTAAACCTATGACATGTTATTATTTGTCCACCTAGGGAAACAAACGTTTGTGAAACGCAGCTGGACGTCAGCAGAAAGTGCTGCTGTGGAACAACACTTGGGTTACGAAATGGACAATCAAGAACCAGGTTCCAGGGAAAGATGCATGTGAGGATTGTATCTCTGCCGAACCTCAAGCCCTAACAAATAGGGACTGGGGAGCCGTTATTACATGAACATTTCAATTTCTTCTCTCCGAATGTAAATGAAATAAAATTGAACCAAGGAAAAATACGTTCAATGTTGAAAGAAGGATTTCAAGTACCACTACCAAAACTAGGGGCTTTACCTAAACCAAACCAAATGTTCATCTTTGAATCGTCAACTAATATAAATTAAAGATGCTAACAACAACAATGCACGTAAGGTCTCTCTCTCGCTCGGTCGGGCCACACATACACACACCCTCCCGGTCCTCCCAACAGCCAGTCGGTGCCTGCCGGTGAGCGTGGAAGTGTGGTCTGCCACAAGCGGGCTGCAGGAGCGGGGCTGTCAGCATCAGCTTGTAGATGGTATTTTAAACTCGATGCGCTCTGAAACTACGGGGCGGCCGAGGAAAAAAAATACACATGCGTTAATCGCGTTAAAATAATTAGTGGCGTTATTTATTTTTTGCGTTAACACGTTATTAACGCGTTAACTTGACAGCCCTAATATATATATAGGCCTACGTCTATGCCCTCCCGGTCCTCCCAACAGCCAGTCGGTGCCTGCCGGTGAGCGTGGAAGTGTGGTCTGCCACAAGCGGGCTGCAGGAGCGGGGCTGTCAGCATCAGCTTGTAGATGGTATTTTAAACTCGATGCGCTCTGAAACTACGGGGCGGCCGAGGAAAAAAAATACACATGCGTTAATCGCGTTAAAATAATTAGTGGCGTTATTTATTTTTTGCGTTAACACGTTATTAACGCGTTAACTTGACAGCCCTAATATATATATAGGCCTACGTCTACGCCCTCCCGGTCCTCCCAACAGCCAGTCGGTGCCTGCCGGTGAGCGTGGAAGTGTGGTCTGCCACAAGCGGGCTGCAGGAGCGGGGCTGTCAGCATCAGCTTGTAGATGGTATTTTAAACTCGATGCGCTCTGAAACTACGGGGCGGCCGAGGAAAAAAAATACACATGCGTTAATCGCGTTAAAATAATTAGTGGCGTTATTTATTTTTTGCGTTAACACGTTATTAACGCGTTAACTTGACAGCCCTAATATATATATAGGCCTACGTCTGTTTCCGGTGACTTTATTTTGAAATTCAGTTCCTGACGGACGGCAAAAAAGCCAGAGATTATAGAATTAAACAAATAAATAAAAACAAGGAAGTGTGTTATTGTCGAGTAAATAACAGTGTGTTATTTAGAAAATAATAACAAATTGGAAGGAAAAAAAGATACAAAAAATACATATTTCAATATTCTGAGCTCCATTTATTTTCCTCACGGACGGCAAAAAAAGTCATTATACGATTTAAAATAAAAACAATAATCGTGGCTTGATATTGAGTAAAAACATGTTTTTATGAACCACACAGCGTCCGGTCTTCCACGACCCGAACGGACAAAAATAAGTGGTGCAGGCACGAAACACACTACCAATAGAAATACATTGCTTTTAAAATCGTTCTGTGTGACACGAAAAAAAGGGGAAAATCGTGTTGGTGAACACGAATCAATAGATGAAATGTCGTGACTATAACACGAAATACCGTGAGACTGGGTTGCGTGACCAGTGTTAGCTATTTTATTTTGCCGTGCATGTGCTGCAATAATAGCGGTGTGAATATCTGTGCTGGGAGACTTCAACGTACATGTGGGCAATGATGGAGACACTTGGAGGGGCGTGATTGGGAGGAACGGCCCCTCTGATCTGAACCGGAGTGGTGGTTTGTTACTGGACTTCTGTGCTAGTCATGGATTGGCCATAACAAACACCATGTTCGAACATAAGGATGCTCATAAGTGTACGTGGTACCAGAGCACCCTAGGCAGAAGGTCCATGATCGATTTCGTTATCGTATCATCGGACCTGAGGCCGTATGTTTTGGACACTCGGGTAAAGAGAGGGGCGGAGTTGTCAACTGATCACCATCTGGTGGTGAGTTGGGTCGAGTGGCGGGGGAAGCCTCTGGATAGACCTGGTAAGCCCAAACGTGTAGTTCGGGTGAACTGGGAACGTCTGGAGGAGGCCCAATATCAGGAGGCCTTCAACTCACACCTCCGGTGGAGCTTTTCGGGCATTCCTGTGGAGGTTGGGGACATTGAACCAGAGTGGTCGGTGTTCAAAGCCTCTATTGCCGAAGCCGCGGCGGGGAGCTGTGGTCTCAAGGTCCTAGGTGCCTCAAGGGGCGGTAACCCTCGAACCTCCTGGTGGACACCGGTGGTCAGGGAAGCCGTCCGACTGAAGAAGGAGGCCTTCAGGGATTTGTTATCCCGGGGGACTCCCGAGGCAGTTGCAAGGTACCGACAGGCCCGAAGGGCAGCAGCCTCATCCGTGGCCGAGGCAAAGCAGCGGGTGTGGGAGAAGTTCGGAGAAGACATGGAGAAGGACTTTCGGGCGGCACCAAAGTTGTTCTGGAAAACTGTCCGACACCTCAGGAGGGGGAAGCAGGGAACCATCCAAGCTGTGTACAGTAAGGATGGGACGTTGTTGACCTCAACTGATGGAGTGTTAGGGCGTTGGAAGGAACACTTTGAGGAACTCCTGAACCCGACAACTCCGCCCTCTATGTTAGAGAAAGAGCTGGAGTATGACGGGGGATCAACACCAATCTCCCGGGGGAGGTCACTGAGGTCGTCAAACAACTCCACAGTGGCAAGGCCCCGGGGGTGGATGAGATCCGCCCGGAAATGCTGAAGGCTCTGGGTGTTGAGGGACTGTCATGGTTGACACGTCTCATCAACGTTGCGTGGAAGTCGGAAACAGTACCGAAGGAGTGGCAGACCGGGGTGGTGGTTCCCCTTTTTAAAAAGGGGGATCAGAGGGTGTGTGCCAATTACAGAGGCATCACACTACTCAGCCTCCCCGGGAAAGTTTACTCTAAGGTACTCGAAAGGAGGGTCAGGCCGATTGTCGAACCTCAGATTGAGGAGGAACAATGCGGATTCCGTCCTGGTCGTGGAACGACGGATCAGCTTTTTACTCTCGCAAGGATCCTGGAGGGGGCCTGGGAATACGCTTATCCGGTCTACATGTGTTTTGTAGACTTGGAGAAGGCGTATGACCGAGTTCCCAGGGAGTTACTGTGGGAGGTGCTGCGGGAGTATGGGGTGAGGGGGTCTCTACTCAGGGCCATCCAATCTCTGTACTCCCAAAGCGAGAGCTGTGTCCGGGTCCTCGGCAGTAAGTCGGACCCATTTCCGGTGAGGGTTGGCCTCCGCCAGGGCTGCGCTTTGTCACCAATCCTGTTTGTAATATACATGGATCGGATTTCGAGGCGTAGTCATGGGGGAGGGGGTCTGCAGTTCGGTGGACTAAGGATTGCACCACTGCTTTTTGCAGATGATGTGGTTCTAATGGCTTCATCGGTCTGCGACCTTCAGCACTCACTGGATCGGTTCGCAACCGAGTGTGAAGCGGCTGGGATGAGGATCAGCACCTCCAAATCTGAGGCCATGGTTCTCAGCAGGAAACCGATGGACTGTCCACTTCAAGTAGGGAATGAGTCCTTACCCCAAGTGAAGGAGTTCAAGTATCTCGGGGTCTTGTTCTCGAGTGAGGGAACAATGGAGCGTGAGATGGGCCGGAGAATCGGAGCAGCGGGAGCGGTACTGCAGTCGCTTTACCGCACCGTTGTGACGAAAAGGGAGCTGAGCCAGAAGGCAAAGCTCTCTGTCTACCGGGCCATTTTCGTTCCTACCCTCACCTATGGTCATGAAGGATGGGTCATGACCGAAAGAACGAGATCGCGGATACAAGCGGCCGAGATGGGTTTTCTCCGCAGGGTGGCTGGTGTCTCCCTTAGGGATAAGGTGAGAAGTTCGGTCATCAGGGAGGGACTCGGAGTTGAGCCGCTCCTCCTTCGCGTCGAAAGGAGCCAGTTGAGGTGGTTCGGGCACCTAGTTAGGATGCCACCTGGGCGCCTCCCTAGGGAGGTGTTCCAGGCACGTCCAGCTGGGAAGAGACCAAGGGGTAGACCTAGGACCAGGTGGAGGGATTATATCTCTTCGCTGGCCTGGGAGCGCCTTGGGATCCCCCAGTCAGAGCTGGTTGATATCGCCAGGGAAAAGAAAGTTTGGGGCTCTCTGCTGGAACTGCTACCCCCGCGACCCGACCACGGATAAGCGGGAGAAGATGGATGGATGGATGGATATCTGTGACTCTAAAATTGCCTCTTCTCAGACTTAGAGCTTGGTAAATGTTACACCAAGCTTTACATAGAGCAGTTACAACGCTATCAATGTGATAAAAATAATTTTTAGATATTTTCAAAAAGTAATCTCAAATCTTACATTTTAAGAAGCTATCCAAATTGGAAGTGATCTCATCCTTGGCCCCACAAGTGGTTTTAGATGGTGTGTGTTTGTAGACAAGGGGGAAATAAGAGCATTTCATTTCAATTAAAATGTTGTTTCATGACAGGTGTGTGCTTACTGCAGTTGGCATTAGATGTTCCTTTTGCTTTTACAGGTTAGCCAGGTTGCACACATTCTTATGGCTAGTCAATATGTGCACCAAAATAAATGTTCTACCAGCCCTAGTAAATAAATCAGTTTTATTTATATAATAATAGTAACAAATGCATGTATTGTTATTTTCTTTATATTGCCACAGTAACATAAATAAACCCAATAGTTATTCAAACAGTATTGATTGTTTTTTGTGAAATATTTGCTGTTGTTGCCCTTAAGGGGAGTTTATGGCATTCTATCTGTTGTAAAACCTTTTGCATAAGAAGCAAAACTAAAAACAATATTTCAAAAATATCTAATACCACCTAAAAAACCTGCAATATATTGCAGCTTTTCTGTGTTAAAATGTAAGAGTATGGTATCTGCTGCACACACACACACACACACACACACACACACACACACACACATACACACACACACACACACACACACACACACACACACACACACACACACACACACATACAGGTTTTTGTGAACTAAAAGGACACTTTGACCCAAACACGTTTTTTCCTTCATTAGAAGGACACCCCTTTCCACTAGCTTTATGTGGGGTATCTATATTACTTTGTAAGGGTAAAACCCCAGCTCGGTTCAATAACCAAAATCCAGTGAACAGAGATAACAGTACTCGAGTTTCAAGTTTACTTGCTGCAAGGAGAATCGGCGAGTGACATGCAATGTCCACTCCTTAACCAACTCTACTCGTCT